AAAAAAAAGATAAAATAAAAAATAAAATAAATAGAAACAGGATCTCCCTATGGTGCACAGGATAGTCTGGAACTTGGGCTCAAATGATCCTCCCACCTTGCCCTCCCAAAACTGGGATTACAGGCATGAGCCGCTGTGTCTGAATGAAACAAAACAGAATTAAAGGCACAGCACAATGAATCATCAGAGTGAAGAGACCCATTTGCCACGGCAGTTTGTGGTGCAGGTGACCAGGAAAGAAAAATCACTTGAGAAGGGACAGGTGCTCCCTGCTTCTCACTTCTGTCTAGCCCACTAGTCGTCAAAGCTGCTAAAGAGTTAGGAAGAATGTGTTGTTTGCATATCACAAAATTTTATTAATGTAATTTTAAGGCCAATTAAACTAATTTTATTAAAAGTAAGTCTACATTAAATTACAATATTAATCGCTAGGCACAATGAACTTAAAATATAAGAAATAAAAATAGAAATCTGGTCTTTCTTAGACCACGTATCATAGAATAAATGAAAATCCTCAAAGATAGAAATGACAAAGAGTGAGGATTTTAATATGGAAATGCACAAGGTGTCATATTTCGAACCCACGTTTCAAAAAGGGAATCTTTTAATAATTTAGCACAAAATCAAATTATATAAACTTGGTATATTCCAGAAAATATTGCTTTAAACATTTATGCCATGATCAAAATTCCTTTGGTAGCTTTTAATCAAAATGAAACATGCTATTATGTAAAATATAAAGTACTTTTAAATGTTATCTCAAAAGTATCTTTGTCATAGTTACCATTCTAACATCACTACTGAACTTTCATTTCACTGTTCAACCTCATGTATACATACACAACACAAAACCAGGTACCAACAAAATCCTTTTAATCTTTCAACAAAATACCCTCTGCTTCACAACATCAAGACTTTAAGTCTCCATAAACTTTTTACAGTTTACAGCAGAGAACAAGGGTTGTCCCTGCACATGACTGTAAAACCAAACCAAACTTTTAATGATTGCAATCATACAAATACTGCAATTTAAAAAAATCAAAGAGCAGTTACCCCAATGCAAAAAAAACAGGGACTGCCAGACTCAATCTTAGCATGGAAACACATGAGCCCCAAACCCTTAAACAGAGATTCACAAGCAACTCAGCTGAAACGAACAGATGCGGCAGGGCGGACACCACGGCCTTGGCACCTCAGGGAGCTCACTTAGAAACCTGACTTACAAAAAAACAGCCATCAAAGTTTAAAACTTTTGGAAATACATGACACAGAGAGGCCAGTGGCTAGGATGCACCATCCATTTTGCCAGCTTCGAACCCTGGCTCTTTCTAATGTTCACCCACGAAGTGTCCTTGTTTTCACTCTAAATGCCGATCATCTGAGCGAGCTTGTCTTCAGGGGTACCTACGGAATCTTTAGAGCTAAAAAATGCAGCATCTAGGGTCTTCTTCATTGTGCATTCATGATCACAAACAAGAACAAACCAAACTTTCAGCTTTTTGACACAAGAACAAGACCTTTTAAAGGAACTTCTTTTTAGCAATGTCTTCTTGTCCAATCTCAAAGTTATTTTGCAGAGTAACAGAAACAATTTAAATGCCTAAAAGAACTAGAGGAAAAACCAGAGGGAAAAAAGACACATCTGCCAGTTGAAGTCTTGAGTCTTGTGGAGGATGACCCAGGAGGAGTCACCTCCCTTCTTTCTTTCAATGTCCACAGCTGGATCAATCACAGAGTCCTGGAAATGGCACAGGTGTGCTTCCCTGCTCTGAGGGTACATTCTAGTGTTTCATGAAGGGGAACTGTCTGCAGATGCATCAGGCCACGTAGTGGTACTGATTCGGATTGTCTCTGTCTCTCTCCATATAGTCTCTGTCTATCAGAGATTCAATTCTCTTTTTCAAATCTCCAGGCTAAAAAAGAAAAATAAAACAACTCCCCTAATTATAGTGGCAATAAATTTACAAACATAGGAGTATATGCATGAAGTATGTAATTGTAATTATTGAAAAAATACATATATATATATATATATACAAATAGACATTTATATATAAATCATTTATAATTATGCACATTTATAAAAGGAATACAACTGTCTATTTTAAAGTTAATGTTACCTCTAGATCAAAAATGTGTCCATGTGAATTTACGGTCAGAGTGTGGCTTCCTGAGGGAAATGTGAAACTTGTAAAATATACATACATCAGCTACCATCATAAAGAGAACATAAGCAAGGTAGAGCCCATCACATGACACATTTTTGTTTGTTCGAAAGGAAAATCTCATGTCTTATTGGGGCATTTTTTTTTTTTTTTTTTTTTTTTTTTTTTTTGTGTTTGTTTTTTTTTTTTTTTTTTTTTTTTTTTTTTTTTTTGAGACAGAGTCTGGTTCTGTCACCCAGGCTAGAGTGCAGTGGCACGATCTCAGCTCACTGCAACCTCCACCTCTAAGGTTCAAGTGATTCTCCTGCCTCAGCCTCCCAAGTAGCTGGGATTACAGGAGCCTGCCACCATGCCCAGCTAATTTTTGTATATTTAGTAGAGACGGGGTTTCACTGTGTTGGCCAGGCGGGTCTTCAACTCCCGACCTTGTGATCTACCTGCCTTGGCCTCCCACCAAAGTGCTGGGATTACAAGCGTGAGCCACCTTGCCTGGCCTTATTGGGGCATTTTCATCCTTTGTAAGGATGCTTCTGCCTAAGTACCCTATTTTATTTATGTATTTATTTATTTTGAGATAGAGTCTCATTCTGTTGCCCAGGCTGGAGTGCAGTGGTGCGATCTCAGCTCACTGCAGCCTCAACCTCCTGGACTCAAGAAATCCACCTGTTTCAGCCTCCCCAGTAGCTGGGGCCACAGGTGCACACCACCATGTCTGGCTAATTTTATTTTTTGTAGTGAAGGGATCTCAATATGTAGCCCAGGCTGGTCTCAAATTCCTGGGCTCAAGCAATCCGCCTGCCTCAGCCTCTCTGAGTGCTGGGATCACTGGTGTGAGCCAGCACCACACCTGGCTGTATTTTTATTCTTACGTATTTATACAGTTATTACATGCTATGTCTACATACGTGAAACTACAATCCTAAGTGTTCCTGTGCTAAAAGTAGGTAACTGACTAGGCCAATCCACAGCCATGCTTGTCTCTGCCCAGGAGGGGCACCCACTCCAGCTCTGCTGTATGAGGAAGCAAATCTGTGTGAGCACTTATGTGCAAGGTTCTCCTATTCAAGGGAGACCCGCTATTTTCCAAACAAACATAACCTTCTTTTCAGTGATAAGCCACATATTTTAGAAGATGTGGCTGAAAACCTAACTACCCGTGAGAGCACAGCAGGTGCCCTGGTTGGCCACACTCTGCCCTCGCCCACCTTCTGCTTCATGCTGGGCCTAGTTGTTTGCAGTGGGAACAGGAGACGTGCTCCAGCTGGTGGGAGGAAGGGGCAATGTCCCTGACGGTGCTTCCGAAGCTGCACAGGGCCCTGAGGATGCCACCTCACCCCTGCAGGGAGGGAGGCAAATGCAGGCTGATGGACAATGCATTTCCATCAGACTCTTATGTGTTTGACTATTTAGTGCAGCCCAACTTTATTCTCCTGATGGGAGGGTCAAACTGCACAACATAGAATTTGGGGACTTTCCCTCCAAAGCATGTGTGGCTGATCCAGTCCCTCAGAGGCTAGGTGTCATCAGAGTTTAGGATTTTCTAGGTTGATAACGACGTGTAAAAACATTTTGTAATACTTTCCTGGCTTATCCTGCATCCCACATGTGGCAGGACAGTAAATCTCAGTTCTAAATACACAGTGCAGATTGACAGGTCTGGGCCGATTTTCATAAGCAACAGCGACAGTGGACAATATCACCATGGCAGAAAATGCTGGGCAACCTGTACATGCTGAATAAATTAGTTATTGTCATCATTTCCTTAAAATCTTGTGATGTAACCTTGACCACTGCTACTATAAGAAAAGTGTTGAGCTTTCCATGTTGTATCTTCCTCTCCCCTTCTTGAAAATATGAACCAGCGCACTATCCCTGGGAAGGAGAGTTTTAGGGCACTATCATTTCTACAGTGGCAACGCACAACATCTGGAATAAAGCTCTTCACATTCGCCAGTCTTTCTACATTCAGTTTACACACAAATGATCACGAAAAATGCAGGTCAAATGATATGACTGAACCCAGTGAGAATTAAACACGCTTTGCCAATCACCTAGCATAATACTACAAATTTAATTAAGCTAATGTTACACTTACCTTGACTGGAAATTTCAGCTGATTATATAATTCAGAAACTAGAAGATTATGACCAAGGGTCTTTCTCATCTTCATTATTCTGACGATAGCAGCATCAATCTGATATTGTCTATCCTGAAACACTCTCTCAGTGGTGCTAACTTGTTCCTCAACCTGTACAAAAAAGAAAAAAAAAGTTAAGTGCAAAGCTGTATTTTCTTTCTTTCTTTTTTTTTTTTTTTGAGATGGAGTCTTGCTCAGTCGCCCAGACTGGAGTGAAATGGTGGGATCTTGGCTCACTGCAACCTCTGTCTCCCAGGATCAAGCGATTCTCCTGCCTCAGCCTCCTGAGTAGCTGGGATTACAGGCACCCGCCATCATGCCTGCCTACTCTTTTGTATTTTTGTAGAGATGGGGTTTCACCATGCTGTCCAGGCTGGTCATGGACTTCTGACCTCAGGTGGTCTGCCCTCCTCGGCCTCCCAAAGTGCTGGGATTACAGATGTGAGCCACTGTACCCAACCTATATTTTCAAAATTAACGATTTTATGTTACCAGATGTGATGAGAAATGTTCTTTTGATGCAAAGAAAGGTCAGACATTGGATGAATTCTACTCTGTTATGCAGGTTTATTTGTTCTAGTAAAATGTACCTTCCCAGAAGAGCAAAACTCCCAAACCAAAGTTTAGAAAATATTTTTAAAAGTTATATTTTCCTTAAAAGAAAGCTGTAACAACTCTATATATGATGTAGATTAAAACTAGCAGCACAGTAAACAAAACAAAGCATAATGACCATCAAGATATATTCCAGAAATGTAAGCGTTGATCAACATTAGGAAATATGTGAATATAAGTGAGGGCACTGTCATAGTTGAAAGGTTAGATTATATGACCATCTTGATAGATGCTGGAAAAGGCATGATCAAACTGAAAACTGACTTTTGATTTAAAATCAACATTAGCCTACAAGGATGAATAAAAAAGGAAAGAATCTGAACATGACGAAGTGTGGTTATCAGAAACAAACAGCAAATACTAGAGGCAACATAACCTTAGTCAAATAGGAACCTGATGGGGCTGTGGTCTGCAGCTGAGATGTGTCTCTGCATACATGTGAGGCAAGTATGCTTCAGGCAGGACAGACTCCAAGCTTTCATCACATGTTCAACAGGATCCACGACCCCCAAAAGTGAGTATTCTCTGAGCCAGAGATAAAATTAGGAAGCTTAGTTGCATTGCTAATCTTTAAAAACGTTACTTTAGAGGTTCTAACTATGCAACATGGGAACAGACTAAAGAGGTATATTGAAAAGGTGTAGAAAAAATGATCATATTTATAGATGAGCTGGAAAATCCAAGAAAATCAACAGAAAAACTTTCAAAGCAAACGAGTTTTGTAAAGTGGCTGGAAATAAAATAAATAAACAAGTAGCATTAATAATATACATTCTGATAAAAACTGTCAGAAATGTAAAGAAAAAAGACCCCCTTTATAAGATATCAACATTTCATTAGCCCATCTTGCTTAAAACTCTAGTTGTTTTCCAAATGCTTCACAGGGCTGAGCCATCTCCAGACGGTCCGGCTGTGGCTGCCTGATTAGGCCTGCCTGGCTCAGCTTCCCCTTTTGGCAACAATGCTGCAGTCAGAGGCCTTTCACTTCCTGGGAAAGCCTTGGCTGACCCCAGTATTTGATTAGGCTCTGCTGCACCTCTCTGTCCTAACATTTTCCTCCACTCTTATAGGTTAGTCAATGTGTGTGATCCTCTGCAACCTCTCTGCCAGAAAAGACTGAACGCGCCTAGAAACAAGGACTTATTCTTTATTGTTAGTGAATGAATGATCAGTGCTTCATAGAGGACCTGGCCCACCAAAGATGCTCAGTAAGTATTTGTTAAATGAAATAAAATTTATAACTAGCAAGAAATAAGCACGACTAAAACTAGAAAGCTCTGAGAAAGAGAAAAGGTTTGCATGTACATTTTATACATACACATATGCACAAATCAGAAGATGCAACATAAAGAAAAACTCTGCAAATTAATGCAGTATGTATTTAAAATGTTAATGTTCTTATTTAGGGGAGCAAAGACATGATACAATTATTGTGAAGTTCATTGGAAAAATAAAGTTAAAGGAATAGCTCACTATTAAAAGAAGCTGGTGCCAGGCGTGGTGGCTCATGCCTGTAATCCCAGCACTTTGGGGGGGTCAAGGTAGGAGGACTGCTTGAGCCTAGGAGTTCAAGACTAGCTGGGTAATATGGAAAGACCCCATCTCTACAAAAGTACAAAAAATTAGCCAGCCTTGGTGGCACACACCTGCGGTCCCAGCTACGTCAGAGGCTGAGGTGGGAGCATCTCTTGAGCCCACGTGGTTGAGGCTGCAGTGAGCTAAGATCACACCACTGCACTCCAACCTGGATGACACAGCCTGACCCTGTCTCAAAAAAAAAATACAAAAAAAACCAAAAAAACAAAAACAAAAAAAATACCCACCCACACCCCCATACACACCAAAACTGGGGGTGGGGAGAGGGCTGGCTATGAAACAGATACAGAATTATATAAGAGAATTGAGAAACTGACCTATAGTCTATGAATTTGATACATAATAAGGTGATCATTCAAATAACTTGTTCAAGGATAATATTTTAAGTTTTAGAATTTTAGGTTTTAGAAAGGGTGGGTGGTTAGATTGGTTTCAGATACTAAAATAATTTCTACATCATGCAAAGAAACATTTAAATGTAAAAATTTCTAAAAAACAGCATAGAATGTTTTTTAAAAATCTGGTTAAGGGAACTTCTCTCTCAGGTTTGTGATACAGTTTTGAGTATGTGTACCCTCCAAATCTTATGCTGAACTGTGGTCTCCAGTGTTGGAGGTGGGGCCTGGCAGGAGGTGACTGGGTCAAGGCAGTAGGTCCCTCGTGAATGGCTCGGGCCCCTCCGCTTGTGATGAGATCTGGTGGTTTAAACACGTGAGGCCCCTCCCTGCTCTTGCTCCTGCTTTTGCCATGTGAGCCGCCTGCCTGGAAAGTTCCTGAGGCCCTGCCAGAAGCTGAGGCGATGCTGGTGCCATGCTTTCTGTGCAGCCTGCAGAACTGTAAGCCCATTTCACTTCTCTTCTTTATAAAGTACCCAGTCTCGGGTTTTTCCTTACAGCAGCGCAAGAACGGCCTAATACAACATGACACGTTAGGTCAGAAGCCGTAAAAGAAAGGGAGAGTGTAATTTGAGAACTTAAAAACTGTTATGTGGAAAAAAAAAACCCCACTAAAAACAACAAAATTACCTGTCAAAAATGACAAAGTAGGGTGGGCATGGTGGCTCACACCTGTAGTCTCAGCACTTTGGGAGGCCGAGGTGTGTAGCTCACCTGGGGTCAGGGGTTTGAGACCAGCCTGGCCAACCTGGTGAAACCCCATCTCTACTAAAAAGGCAAACCTTAGCTGAGTGTGGTGGCAAGTGCCTGTAATCTCAGCTATTCAGGAGGCTGAGACAGGAGAATTGCTTGAACCCAGGAGATGGAGGGAGTGGTGAGCCGAGACCACGCCACTGCACTCCAGCCTGGGTGACAGACTGAGACTCCCCCCAACCCAAAAAAAGGACAAAGCATTAATATCCTTAATATATAAAGAAAACCTACTAATCAATAAAAGAAAGAACATTATAATAAATACATGACTTGAAAAGCAATTAAAGAAAGAAAAATACAAATGGCTAAGCATAAAAAGAGCAGCATAAACATTTATGAAGTGCTTACAGGTGTGTGGCAAAGAGCTTTATAAACGATTCATTTGACTCTCACACCTTGAGGTAGTAGTATGTCTATTTGAAATATGAGAAACTGAGTATTAGAAAGATTATATTATGTATAAACTACTCGGTGGTAGTAAGATGCTCAAAGCAATCAAAGAAAAAACGAAAACTGTAACAAATTATCTTTGGGCTGCTCAGAACAGCGTGGGCAAAGGACAGGGGGAGGTGGGGCAGGTGCTCTCCTAAAAGCAGACACTGTGATCTGGTGAAATCTGCCAGACTTCAATTTTGAAAAGGGCAGTCAAACTAAGAAACGTCATGTTATTTTACCAAGCAGCTCCACAGCAAGAATCATATAAAGAAACAATCCAATAAGCGCACAGAAACGTCTGTGCCAGGGTGTTTAACGTAATCTTATTTCCAGGAGGGGAAATGGAGGAGTGCTGGTGCCTGCGGCCGAGGGCACTGCCAGCCATGCTGGGTCCACACAACCGGCACTCTGCTCCTACAAGTCCTGGCCAGGAGAAGACTGTGACAAGCAATGAAAGCTGGCTACAGGAGGGCCCTGACAGGTGCCATATATACAGTGATTCCCAGGCGTTTGCTCTTGTAGAGCTGGGGACCTCACTGCATTGCTCAGGATGGCCTCAAACTCCTGGGCTCAAGCGACTCTCCTGAGTAGCTGAGACTACGGGTGTAAGCCACTGTGCCTGGCTTAGTGATCCCACTTAAAAAAATGTTTACATGTACTTGTACCACAGAAAAAAGGCTGTGACCACAAACAAAACGGGCAACAGTGGTTCTCTTTGGGAGGAAGAACTGACAGACCTTCCCGCTTCTGCTCACTGTAAAAGTTGCACCCTCAAAGGAGTTAAAAACCCAAGTCCACATAAAAACCTGCACAGAAGTGTTCATAGCAGTTTTAGTCATAAGCATCAAAACTTGGAGGCAATCAAGATGACCATCAGTAGGTGAAAGGATAAGTTGTGATGCATCCAGAAAATGGACAATCGTTCAGTGCAGAAAGCAATGAGTGACCCAGCCATGAAAAGACATGGGTGAACCTTAATGCATTCTACTAAGTCAAAGAAGCTAATCTGAAAAAGCTACACACTATGACTCCAGCTGCATGCATTCAGGAAAGGGCAAAACTATGGCAACAATAACAGGGTCAGGGGTTGCCAGGGTCTTGGAGGGAGACAGGGATACAATGACAGATCTAAGACAATTTTTAGGGCAATGAAACGGTCCTGTATGATCCTATAATGGTGGATACAGAACATTACACATTTATCCAGGCCCACAGAATGCAACACCAAGAGTGAACCGTATGTAAACTGTGTCCTCTGGATGATAATCATGTCAATGTAGGTGCACTGATGCTAAGAACTGGATACTCTGGTGGGAGATGTTGATACTGGGGACTCATTAGAAATGTATGTACCTTCCTTTCAATTTTGCTGTGAATCTAAACAACACTAAAAATAGTCTGTAAAAAAAAAAAAAAAAAAAAA